ATTGAAACAGAAACAGCAGCACACTTTGTCACTTGCCTCTGGCTTGTGATTGGTCAGATTATGTGATGAGTGAAATAGACATGAGTATATACGTTGAAAATATTTTAAACTGCGAAATTATGTTTTGATTTCATGCAACCCTCAAACGTATTGCGAAGTAAAATGTCATCAGTACACTCTGGATTCCTCTTTCCACCAGAATTCCAATTAGGGGTCACAAGCCATAGGTTTGGGGCTGATTTCAGCTACTCCCGAAGGATTACTTCAAATTGCTCTCAAAATAGAGGTGAATATATCAAAACCGTTGTCGTGTGTCGCGAGTTTTTAATAAAATGACGTCCACGCTAGCAAATTTATAGGGGTGTATAATTTGCTGACCAAAATTAAAGTATGCTGACCGCGAGTCTATCTGATTCGAATTTTCTTTTCAAATTGCATATTTGAATATATTATATGGATATATAGATGCCACCAGTGGAATTATTTCGATCCACCCTTCCAGAGGGGTACTTTCTTCTTGCAGTTTTTCAAAATTCCTTGCTGACCGAGCATTTCTGGTTCGTATTTTTCCATCAAATTACATATTTGTATATCTCATATACAGGGTGTTTCGAAATTCGACCGACAACACTTCACAGATGGTATCTCTCGTGATTTGATGAATAATGAGGTAGGAACATAAAGGTCTAACGTGCTTAGTTATCGAGATACAGGGTGTTGAAACTGAGAAATAAAAATAGTTTTTCCCCAATATCTCAAAAACAGCTGATTTTTTTGCATTCAAATTCGATGAGCGAATCAAACTTCAGAATCTTAATTTCTAGACGTCGGATTCATATTTGACAATTCTTCCAGTGGCGCCATTAAGGGGGTATGATTGCATGATTTTCCAAAAAAACATGTGTTGCGATATGAATTTTGAAAATTTTATATGATTATATCAAAGACCATTCAATTTTGAATTGAAAATGCATACTTGATGGATCTCGATAGAACCCACCATTTCCGAGAAAAAACGAAAAATGTAAATAGTCTTCCAATTACTTCATTTCAAATCGATCAATCAAATGAGAAAAATTCACCCAAAAAACCACAACAGTATAGAAAAAACTCTTGATACGTATTTCGGCAACTGAATTGCCATCCTCAGAAGTCCTGAAAAGTAAAAAATAGTTCGCTGACTGAGATATTCTCCGAAAATAACCTGTGGGACTGAGGACTACTAAGGATGTCTACTTAGTTTCCGAAATACTTATTTATAGTTTTTTCAATATTGTTGTGGTTTTTTGGGTGAATTTTCTTTATCTGATTGATCGATTGGGAATGAAGTGATTGGAATACTATTTACATTTTTCGTTTTTTCTCGAAAATGGTGGGTTCTATCGAGATCCATCAAGTATGCATTTTTAATTCAAAATTGAATGGTCTTTGATATAATCATATAAAATTTCCAAAATTCATATCGCAACACATGTTTTTTTGGAAAATCATGCAATCATACCCCCTTAATGGCGCCACTGGATCAATTGTCAAATATGAATTCGACGTCTGGAAATGGAGATTCTCAATTTTAATTTGCTCATCGAATTTTAATGAAAAAAAATCAGCCGTTTTTGAGATATTGCGAAAAAACTATTTTTATTTCTCAACTTTAACACCCTGTATCTCGATAACTAAGCACGTCAGAGCCTTATGTTCCTGCCTCATTATTTATTAAATCACGAGAGCTACCACCTGTGAAGCGTTGTCGGTCGAATTTCGAAACACCCTGTATATTTATAGACCCCATCAGCAGAAATGCTCGGTCAGCAAGGAATTTCGAAAAACAGCAAGAATAAACTACCCCTCTGAAGGGGTGGATCGAAATAATTCCACTGGTGGCATCTATAAATCTATATGAGATATCCAAATATGTAATTTGATGGAAAAATACGAACCAGAAATGCTCGGTCAGCAAGGATTTTTGAAAAACTGCAAGAATAAACTACCCCTCTGAAGGGGTGGATCGAAATAATTCCACTGGTGGCATCTATAAATCTGTATGAGATATCCAAATATGTAATTTGATGGAAAAATACGAACCAGAAATGCTCGGTCAGCAAGGGTTTTCGAAAAACTGCAAGAATAAACTACCCCTCTGAAGGGGTGGATCGGAATTATTTTACTGGTGGCATCTATATATTGATATAGAATATTCAAATATGCAATTTGAAGAAAAAAATCGAACCAGAAATGCTTGGTCAGCAAATTTCATTTCCCCCAAATTTATTATTCCAGTTGAAGCCATCACTAATCATCAACCATTCCCAATAAGGCAAATTTCTATGAATGTTTTTTCAAGCAGAAAAGCAATGACTGCAAGTGTGTCAAATGACAATATAGCTGTAGAAAAATACATGAATTTATACGTAAATTTTTTATCTTTCCTGTTAGTCATTCTGCATGCCAGTTGACGACCGAAATCTACGGATTGTGAAATGATCCTATTGTGATGTCAAATAAATGTCTTACGTTTACTGTAAAGAAAACGGTCCTGCAATTATACTGTGTGTCACGAGACGCACTCGAAAATCATGTAACCCAGACTTACATAAGTTCTTCTAGCTCAAGTAATACAGTTCCATTGAAATTTGACGCTTCGTGATTTTATTGCTTTGGGAATTGCCACTGCTTTCCGGGTACCTATTTATGTACCCTGGACTAACTTGAATGACAAAAAAATGAACTGATTTGAATAATCTTCAATGCAATGAATATTAAAAAATTCACATTTGTTGATTTTTTATTGTTCGTGCGATTTTCTTTGGTCGCCCTGTGTATGCACCGGATGCCCATCAATTGCGACTCTTACATACCCTTGTCTAATACAATTCACCCAAATTCGCAATATCTCGTCGAAATTCAAAGGAGATATGTCGCAACAATAGCATGTGCTTGAATGCGTTGTTCTTTGATGATTTTCATTCGGCGGTGACTACTAATCTGCTCGTACGATTTCACAAGGCCAGATTTGTACTGATATTCCTATGTTACCTATTTGGTGATATTTTTCTTTGTTTCATTTTGCAACTCATCTGAGTATTGTGACTATTTCACTCATCACATAATCTGACCAATCACACAAGCCAGAGATAACGTGTGTTTCAATTTCAATTCTGATTGGTCTATCAGCGTTGATGTTTTTAACGATGTAACCCTGGATAGCGAAGCAAAGTCTGGATGTAACCATGGATAAGCGATAGCAAAGTCTGTCAGTTTGGCATAAAATAAATATGGCTGTACTTGTCAGAATGAATCACTCATTTATAATAATATGCTTCGTGAACGTAAAATAGTCTGAATAGTCAGTCAAAATACCACTCTGTTCTGAGTATCTTCTCATAATTCTGTCTTTCATTAACTCTTGGGGTTGCTCGGCTACACAATTACGTGAAAAATGAAGCGAAATACATTGTTATGTTCAATAGATCCAAGATCAGTTGTAAAACACTTTTCAAGTAACAACTATTCAAAGTATCACATGTAATGAAAAGACATGTAAAATTTGACTCTTTATTTAATTGATCGACAGGTACGATATGTTCCAGGTGACATGTTATGTGGTACCACCCCCTCTATAACTCTTTCATTTTTGACAGTAAAAAGAAAAAAACGAAAAATTGCCTTACAGGTGATTTTTTTTCTTTCTCGAATCAACAGAGACATTTTGACTATCTGCAAAAATATACCTACAGGAAGCAGCAGAACGTGTATGAATTTCAAATGGAATATCCCTGTATATTTCCTCATAGGAAAGACCTTTCGAAGAGTTTTCCAAAAATACCATACTCTATATATTTATTATTTATCTTTTGTATTTCTGAAAATATATGCTTTCAAAACTAACAAAGTTTGATCGATTTTGAATGATTTTCGAAAGTAGTCCTTCTCAATGATTACTATATTGATTTTCTTCGAATTACACTTTATTTAATGAAAAATCCACAGTCACTAGCAAAATCTCATAGTATATAATGTTTTAGTGTTTTTTTAGCATTTCTGGAGACTGAAAATATATTAAATTTTGAAATTATTTTTTATTTTATAGGACCCCCAAACGTTCTGCAAATTGAAATATGATCAGTACGCTGGATTGGAGCGTTTTTGATAATTCTATATTCATACAGTACATGTCATTTTGAAGGGAAAAAATAAGGAATTTAATGAGCAAATGAAATACAGGATGTTCTATTTAAAAAATCATAAATTTGAGTCGTATCTCCAAAACCATACCCCGAAAAAAAAAATTGAGTGCGCCACAAGATTATGCGTAAAAATCTCGATGGGATAAGATTTTAATTTGATATTTTCGCTGAGAAACTTCGTAGATATAGAAAGGGTCAAAAAAGTTTAAATTTCCAAAATCGCCCTGTATCTCAAAAACGAAACAGTTATGTAAAATCTCATTAGGTCATCTTGTGTTTCACAAAAAAGTGGTACAGAACTGCGGAAAAAAGTTCGATCTGTCTCACCCAAAATGGGATACACTGTATACAGTCACAGATTAACAAACCTTAGTACAGTATGTTCACGTCCCTGGTGGACCATTAACCACAACTCCCATTATACATAGTGTTTATCGGAGTATGACCGTATGCGGCTCTCAAAATAGTTCTTTCGCTAGAAACTTTCAGTGTTTTACTCTCTCCTATTGTGTTTACGCCACTCTGAGCCAAGGAAGGAAGCTCTTGCGTATTTTGGATCGTCAGTAAAGACGGATTTTTTACACGATACTGTGGGTGATACAATAAGATAGTGACAATACCGGAAGAACCCTGAAGGACTTTTTTCAGTGGAGAAGGTAAATTCAGATTCTTGAGCAATTTTGATATTCATCATACTCTGGGATTTTTTGTTTTTTAGTTGAAATATCGGAGCGAAATTATTATGTCAATAATTATTTCAAATTTGGACTCTATTTTGACCGATCCGTTTGCATGGTGAGGAAAGAATGCTCCAAAATGTCGTACAAACTAAGGATTTTGCTATTATTCTTCTTACTGATTGAAAAATGTCGATATATCAGTACCCAACGAGCTTGCCCACAAAAAGAAGTAATTTTACCATGCAGGTGTCTACTGAGAGCCCAAGAATATCAAATATGGTGAGTTTAGAAATAAAATTGAAACGTGTCTTCAAAAATGATACATGTTTTCAATATATTCAGGTGCTCTCACAGCAATTTGCCAAACGTTCTGGAAAGCCTCAAAAATGTAGCGAAATACATTGCACACCCCGTAGACGAATTAATATTGGAAAACAATTTCCTACCATCCCTACCTGGTAGGACTTTTTCACCACTGCGTGTCCTGAGGCTGATGCTGCGTCACAACAATCTGGAAAGAGTCTCTAGTGATTTTTTAGCAGGCTTAGAAACCAGCCTTATGGAAATTTTCATAGTCGAGCCACGATTGAGCGGTTTACCAGAATTGTCCATGGCTCAACTCAGAAACCTCAGAGCGGCCACGATACATACCAAACTACTGAAACGTTTACCCGTATTCTCGGGGTTACTGAAGCTGAAATACATTCAGACAGAGTCAGCGATGCTATCAGAGCTCTCACCGACAAACTTCAAAAATCTGCCATCATTGGAAAAGCTGCACATCAGCTCTAGTCCAAAGTTGACGAGGTTGGAGTCGAGTTTACTAGAGGATTTGCCCAAGCTCGAATTGATCAACATCACCCACTGCGGAATCGATTGGATCCATGTCAGGGCGTTCAGGAGGCTACCAGTGTTGAAAGAATTGAACTTGTCTGGAAATAAGTTGACAGATGCTGGCATGGTAGGCAGAGGAAGTAGAGAACTACCAGAGCTGGAGGTTATCAGGTAAAACACAAGCTAAATTCAAAAGTAATTTTCGACACTACTTGCTGATATTCTTTCAGGTTAGATAAGAATAATCTGAACAAGCTAGGTGAAGCCAGCTTCGTGGATTTATCCTCCCTGAAAAAGCTAGACCTATCCAATAATCTCATCACTCATATCCAACAGGGTGCTTTTCACAGACTACCCAAACTGAAAATCCTCGATGTATCGAACAATGCATTGAGATATTTCCACCCAGGAAGCTTTTTGCATCCCTCAGAAAGTGCCCTGGAAGAAATACTGCTCCCTCACAATGACATAAGCAACATTGGGGAGCTCAGCTCGGTTCTGGACAGCTCCCCGAGACTCGTTTTCCTGGATATGCGCCACAATCAGCTACGAACCATTCCGTTCGGAGCCCTACGAGGTCATCCTACCATAGAGCAAATCGATTTGGGATTCAACAGGTTGCGCTCTATCGATAAGGAAGCTTTCATAGCGATGCCAGCGCTCAGAGAACTGAAACTAGCCAACAACTCGGTGAGCGACCTTTTCCCGGCGCCATTTTGGAATTTGCCAGCCTTGAAGGGGCTGGATCTATCTAAAAACGGCCTCGGTAGGCTGCAGCCGATGTTTCTCAGCAACGTGGGTGCCCTGAGGCGAGTGGACTTGAGCCAAAACTTGCTGAGTTTTGTAGACCCTGAGGCGTTCGTGCCTACTCCGTTCCTTGAGCACATCAACATGTCCAGCAATGTGCTCAAGGGACTGCATGTGGTGACTTTGAGGCATCTGAGGCAGCTGTACGAGGTCGATTTGAGCCACAATTTTCTGAGGGCTGTGCCGGGTGAGCTGCCGAGGAACATAGAGTATTTGCATTTGAGAAACAACGAGATTACTGGGTTATCACCTCAGGAGTTAGAATTGCCATCTCTGAGGGTCTTAGATCTAAGTAAAAATAGGATAGACGGTCTCCCAAAGGGTAGTCTGAAGAGGCTAGTTAACTTGAAGCGATTATATTTAGGTGAGTTTTTATTGGGTATACCCTCTAAATTGCTTGACAATGTTATTTTGTAGGTTCGAATTTAATAACGAGTCTGGAAGAATTTTCTCTGGACGGCCTCAATAATCTGGAAACCTTGGACCTCGGTAACAATAGGTTAGTTCAAATCTACCAGAATTCGCTCAAACCGCTAATTTCTCTACGATACTTCAATGTGGAAAACAATCAGATTAGCGTATTGGGCTCAGAATTACTGATATCTAGCAAAAACGTGCTGCAAATCAATCTGAGTGGTAACCAACTTCCAGAAATCCTGGCTAGAACTCTGGATACCAATAAACAAACTGAATATCTGGACATATCCGACAACCTGTTGATTCAGATACCTCAAACCGTTTACGATAACACTAATTTGAAAAAACTCGATCTCACAAACAACAGAATCAAGACAATCAATGCCACTATAATTAACAGTTTGACCAACCTAAGGGAGTTGAGACTGACCAAGAACTTTATCCAAACCATAGAGGAAGGTTCCTTGTTCGACCATAAGCATGTGAAAACGATTTATCTAGATGATAACGAGATTGAATATATGGAACCCAAGTCCATAAGGAACCTACCAGTCGTGAAATCCTTGAAACTGAATCGGAACAAGTTGAGAAAACTTCCCAACATAGCTTTTCATAACCTACCTCTACTTCAAAGCTTAGAGCTACAGCAAAATAAACTGAGAAACATTGAACCGAAAGCCTTCAGCCAAGTTCCACATCTTTTGATGCTCAATTTGAGCCACAACGAGTTGATAACATTAGAAGATGCTGGTCTTCAAGGTTTAAACTCTCTGGAACTGCTAGACTTGAGTTTCAACAGGATATCCAAGTTATCTGGTAGAAACCTAGATCAGCTAGAGTGGCTAGTCGAACTTCGAATGGACGCAAACGCCATCTGCGAGGTCAGCGAAGGAGTTTTCGACAAGTTGTTGAGGTTAAGACTCCTGAGCATCAGGAATAACAAGATTATGTATATACCAGAAATGGCGACTCAGCGGCTCAGAAGCAATATCGCTACCATCGACGTGAAAGGTAATCCTTTGTCCTGTTCGTGCAACATGCTGTGGCTGCAGGCCTGGATCAAGGAAACATCTCAGGAGAGCCCCAGTTGCTCTGATGGTACGTTGCTCAGGGAACTACCACTCAGTTCCCGAGATTGTCCTCAAGAAGAAAGGCAAAAAAAGGGATTAACCATGTGCGATGCTGAGATTTTCAACACTCCCAACTTGTACTCGACTTCCCAGATACTTTCTAGTTCGAAGTATAGCCTCAGAAATGGTACGAAGAATGGTTTGGGGGGCAAAAACAATTTAGCACCGTCCCCTGAAGAATCTGAATATTTTTATGATTATTACATCGACTATCCCTATAACGACAGCCTGATTGATCCTAAGGTAGCTGTGAAGGAGAAAATTAGGGATGAGGAAATGACCACTCAAAATGTACTCGATAGATTCCTGCAAACAAAGTCTAAAGATAACATTGCAGGTATGTATTCTTGTAGGTAGGTATTTATTTTTGTCTCCGTGAATTTCACATTTTTTTAGGTGATACCCCAACGTTATATGCTGCTTCTTCGACAAAACCGAAGCCCGATATCCCCCAAAAAGTGAGCCACTCCCCAAGCAACAGTGGCTTCACGTTTTTCGGACTCCCCCTGCCGGATGTCAACTTGAAAAACTTATTCGGACCCGATCAGGCCCGAACCCCCGTCATGGAAAGAAAATCCGCTATCGTTAACGATTCTCCAAAAAGCAAGAGGAAATTCATAGCTCAAATGGAGATGCTGCAACCCCCAAAGATGCCCGAGCTCCAAGGTGGGTTCCTACCCGTGCTGCCTGGGTATGGGGGCTTCAAACCCATGCCGGATCCCAGTATTGCCATCAAAAATCCCCAGAGGAAGCAAGAGGTGGTAAATGAAAAGCAACAGGGGTTGCAAGTGGATTTACAGAAGCAACAGGTGGAGTCACAGAAGCAACAGGTGGCGCCACAGAAGCAACAGGTGGCGCCACAAAAGCAACAGGTAGAGTCACAGAAGCAACAAGTGAAACCGAAGGTGAAAGGTCAAATAGAAGCATTGAAGCAGCCACAGAAGAAATTGAACTTTGAGAGATCTCAACTGTTGTCCAACCAGAGTACATTTTTCAACTTCACCAGTGATTCTCTGCCGACTAATAGAAACAAGAAGAGTCAGTTGGCTACTATAAAGTTGGAAAGTATAGCGAATGTGAAGATATTCAATCAGAGTGTAAGTCACAATTTTGAAGAGCATCCAAGCACAGAGTCTGCTGAAATTTTGAATAGTTCTGAACGAACTGAAACCGTATCGTTTACGACAGTTGTTGTGGACAAAATGACAGATGTAGTTGAAACCACTACAGTGGTAGTTGAAACGAGCACTGTCCCTGTGAGAGATGAAACTACCACTGTAAAACCAACACAGCTGAATGAATCAGGCGTTGTTTCGAACGACTCGAAAGTAGTTGAAAACCAAAAAATTACACAACATAGTGAACCAATATTCGAAGAAAAACCGTCTAAACCTGACACACAACCAGAAAAAAAACATAACGGTTCAGTTCTGTCGGCTTTTTTAGTACCAGGAGGTGAACAGTACCAGTTCAAACCAACAGCAAAGTCGACCATTACCAAAGTTCAGAACCCACATGACTCCAACAGCAACGATGCTTCCATCCTGAAATCATCACTGAGAGTTTCAGATTTTCCTGATTTTGCCAAAGTTGAATCTGCTAGGGTGGAAAATGTCGTTTCTGACGATTCTATCATAACGTCGACTGATGAAGGCATGACAGAAACGAATGATTGGTATTTTGAGAACTATAATAAGCAAAACGTAGAGCCCTTTGTGGCAAATATAAGGGTAGATAGTGCTAGCACAGGCAGCTCTCAACCAATTGTATATACTTATTTGTTAGTAGGAGTCGCGTTCATTGTATTGTAATAAAAAATCTGTATATATCGCGTTTTATTTTTTATTTTTGCTGTTAATTTTGATCAACAATCGAATCCCTTGGGTACGTAAGAACAATTGCTACGTTTCGCAGCATGGGTTATGGAGACGTCAGACCAACTCCAGTCTATACAGGCGTTTTCTGCGCAAGTTATCTCGACAGGCATCGAATTTTTGCCAGTCATGGTTCCAGTGATGTTCGAGAAAGTCAGATTGGTGATGGGGATGTTGCCGACTGGTGGGCCACTCCCGGATGGGTAGTTTTGCTGGATTTGAGCCCCGAACCTTCTTATTCCTGAAATTTTCAGATTAAGTAGTCGTAGAAATTATGCCTTCTCAATTAACACGAGATTGACCATTTTTGACTCTGGTAAAATGTCTAAAATGGACAAGAAACCCTATTCAAAATGTAGTTTTTTTTTATATCCGAAATGAATTTATTCGAGTGGTGATATAACCTGTTTGTGAGAGATATAATCCTCATATCACTGATTCGAATGATTTTTTTTTAAGTTCCAAGCTCATCAAGATCAGAGTTTATACAAGTATACTTCTCATATACATTTCAGGGGTCATTTCTGGACCCATGTTTATATAAACTTTAGTTATTAATCTGCAGTTGAAATTTTTTATGTTATTTCGAGACACCTACCACTCATCCGTATATTCCTGTACGTGATATTCCTGATCTCCCCCAAATAGCCGTCAGTGTGCGTTTTGACGTGTATCCCGTTGTCTCCGTCTCTCAGCACGCTATTCTCGATCACGACATTGGCCACCCTGTTGTGCAAAAACGAGTGTTTGCTGAACCCGACGCTGATGCTGAGACCGTGGCTGCCGGTGCAGTCCATGCCCGAGATCAGCATGTCTTGGCCGCGATTGATGGCCACGCAATCGTCCTGATTCGATACCGTCGAGTTTTTGATGGTGACGTTTTGGCCGTAGATTATATCGAAGCCGTCTGTGTTGTGGCCGAGATTGTTCTGGAAATTAATATGTTCACGATTGTGATGGTCACGAGATTACGTCAATGAAGTATCATTAAGCGAATAAATGATAGTTTCAGCGGCGCAAAAGACAGTTTGTTGAATATAGACAATGAATCATTTCCTACTTTGCACCTGTCTGAAAATCATGGAGAATTTGATTTTTATAATCAATCAAATGTTTGAAAACTTTCAGGCAGTTAACGATAGTTGTAGTTACGAGATTATGTCAATGAAGTGCCATTAATCGGATAAATGATAGATTCAGCGGCGCAAAAGACAGTTTGTTGAATATAGACAGTGAAATATTCAGAAAAATGAGTTGAGCATTATGTAAGGTGTTGAATGATATACACATAATTAGAAGTGTGGGTGCAAATCATAATGAAAAAAATATAGTGTTGTGTTACAGACCTTGACTAAGTGATACAGTTCCAGCGGCACAAAGAACGGTTCGTTAAATATAGACATTGCGATATTCAGAAAGAAGATGGGTTGAGCATTGTTAATGATGTTGAAAAATAATGATAAGTGTGGCTGTATACTATTATGAAAAATGTAGTGTTGTGTTACAGACCTCAAATAAATGATAGTTTCAGCGGTGCAAAGGACAGTTTGTTGAATATTGATGTGCGATATTCAGAAAGAAGATAAGTTGAGCATTGTGAAAGGATGAATAATAATAATAATAAGCAGTGTGGGTGTATATTATAATGAAAAATATGGTGTTGTGTACAGTCCTGATACATTTTTCACTTCTGGACAGTGTTTAGAATTAACGGACCCTGGATCGTAAAGAGAAAATACTAAACAAATTGATTATAATTTGAGGAATCGTAGATAGACACATGTTCCACACCCACAGTTATTCACTCAGGATCGCTTGTAAGTACAACAATGACTGTTTATAAAAATTCAACATCGAGAAGTGATTCGTTCTAATGCTGATGAATAAGTGACCGCATGACCGCTTCTGATTACGAAGACCGATGAATCACCATCTTGTGATAAGGCATTCTTATGCGTTCCATAACTTCGTCGCTAACAGTATAATATAATAGAGAACTACAGAAAATCGATTCTACTTTGTATGGAGAATGTAATGTTATAGTTTTTGTTGTATTTCATCTACAAAATGACATCAATGGATTATTTTCTACTTAGCCACAGGCTAAAATTTATGGATTTAATTTTTATATTCAACCAAATGTTTGAAAACCTTCAGGAAAAACTCTTTGGACGACCTAGTTAGAACGGATACAAATTTAAAATCGAATGGTGGATCTGCTTGTCAATTCAACGCGACGACTCACTTTGTTTCCTTCAGACACGTCAATGGTCCATCTGTCCAATGTGAGGTCAGTGCTGGAGATGATGACGCAGTGGTGGGGACAGTTCAAGAGGAAAATGTCTTCGAACAGACCGCCAGTCACGTCAATTTCGAACATGTACGGTTTACCAGGGACTGCCCCTCCTTTGCTGTCCCACCAAAGGGCTCCCTGGCCATCCAAAACTGACCCTAAAATATCAATAAATATACAGAGTCGTTCATATGGGAAAAACTTTCGATAAGAATGTATTGTGTTTCCCCTATGATGTCAGTTTTCTGAAACATACTGTATATGCCTCTATTCCTGAAGGAAGTCTAGTCGTTTATTCTAAAATTATAGTTGTGTTACCTTTGGCTCCCTGAAAATGAACATTTTCTCCTCTAACCCTTATCAGAGGGCCTGCCCAATAGAAGTACTCGAACTTCGTTGTCCCTTCGAAGGTGACCCTAGCTCCTGGTAAAAGGTCCAATTCCAGTATTTGACCACCGGGCACTACTAAATTGGAAATCACGATATCTTGGCAAGATTTCACTGTGGAAGCAACTTGAGATATTTCGGTGATAGTGCAGTTGGTGCTTGCCCCAGGTTTTAGGGAAAAACTGAGGGCAGTTGAGGCCGAAACTAATAAAATCCCGATGAGGGCGTTCATTTCGTTGTTTTTCTAGTGTTTTTCAGATTGTGGTGTAGGTTGAGTGAGGTGTTCGATTTTATAATCGTAATAGTTACAGTTGGAGTGCTTGATCTTTCAGATATCATTCAGAACTTGCTTATCTTTTCACATGTTTTCTTTCTTTGACCGATTTGAGATTTTACGGTTGATAAACATCATTTTATAAAAAAGTCGATAAAATATAATGAGCTAATACCCATTAAATATTCATTCAACAAGCTGTACTAAATCTTTGAAAAACTTATTTTCGAGGATTGATCAAAACCAAACTAAAATTTGGACCTCTTTATTGTAAATTACCATAAAATTCAACATGCAATAATAAATCTAAAAAAAAAAAAACAAATACAATACATTGGTACATAAATACTTTGCTAATACTTGATTATAAAGCGGCATGCTACTTGTAAAGATATAAAATAATGACTTAAGTTAAAGAGTGGAGATATAAGGTTCAAAACGCTCATGCCTGGCAGAGTCAGACATATATATGCAAAACATGCAGGTTCCTGCAATAAAAAAATAAGTATGAAAAATAACAAACAACAAAACGATATAAAATAAGAAGCCATTCAAACGAATGTGTATCATCTATGAAATTAGTGCTGCAAGCTGTGTTATTCAAAACAAAATATTCATGCAGGTGTTAACTTGAGCATGCAGAAAATAAAATAGAATATTAATATTAGCCATGGTTAATAAAAAGCAAAAAATAGGATATGAATACCGATAAATCATTCACCATGTACATATTTTTTTCTTCGTTGTCAGTGTTGTTCCCTTCGTTAGCAAAACATTAGTTTTCTTCAAATACATACGAAATAGATGAGATGAGGTTAAAGAAGAAATGCTATAATAACAAGTGAGATTACTTTTTATTGTATAAAATATAAAACTAAGTACATTATTCACAGATACTGGACGGAATGTGCATTGCATTATTTCAAACTACATAAAAATACGACATATATATATATTGCTATGAAAAGAGTCCTCCAAAGAAGAAATGATGAGAAACTTAGGAGAACTCCAATTTTAAGTACATAACCTTAAGAGAATATCAATTGATAATACACTCAGTTCCAAAAAAAGTGACGCACTTGATATTTGACCTATCTTCTTAAAAAGAAATAGGAGGCCGATTTTTATTTTTTTTTTATTTGTTGGTAGGTAATGCATTTGTCTTAAAAAAAATAAAGAAGTGAACATTTTAACTCGAACCATGATTTATTCTTAATTTTTGACTCACCCTGTGTGTTAATTGAGTAATGGCATAGAAAGTGCTTACTTCATGAATTTGGCAAAGATCTTGCTGAACATTTACCGCAGTATTTGATCGATTCCGTAAAATCCGCAATCTCAAGAAGCGATCATCTCTTGGAGAAGTTTTTCGGGGGCGACCAGAACCGAATCTCCGAGCGGTGCTTCCTGTTTGTTCGTACTTGCGGATTGCTCTACGAGCAGTTGCTTCATGAACTACCACTGCACGAGCGGCGTAACGTTTACTACGCCCAACGCAACTAATCTTGCTACTTGTTCAGGATTTATTTGGGGTATTTTATGTAATTTTAGCCAATAAAACAATACACTTAATCAATGACACAACGACAAATGGTCAAATACGGAGGCATACAATAAATTAGTTGCTATGGCAACGGCATTTGTTTTTTTAAAGACAATGTGATCCTACCAGAGTACAACCCAATCAATGTTGAGTACTCTGATCCTTCAATAAATTTAATTTGTGGGATAAGCGTAAGGTATCAGCAAAAAGGCTGTAATTCGGAAAATTTAAGAGATAAATCAATGAATGAAAAAACAAAATGCTCGCAAAAGAAGCCTCTTTCGTATAGGGTGTAAGCACTTTGTATACCATTTCTCAATTATCACACAGGGTGAGTCAAAAATTAAGAATAAATCATGGTTCGAGTTATTCCACCACCATCAAGGATGCTTCGAAAAAATTTACACCTCTTAATTTTTTTTTCAAAGACAAATGCATTACCTACCAACAATTAGAAGAAGAAAAAATCGGCCTACTTTCTTTTGGAACTGAGTGTACATAATAACTTTTCAAGTTGAAAATGGATCCAAGGGATGGATAAGTTGTCCATTATTTTGGTCTCGCCCCCTGTATATCACGATATCATAGAAATATTTAACAAAGTTTTACTACAGAATATTTCTATCAACAATGATTCTGTAGTGTCATACGATATTATTTTGATATTCTTTATATGCTCATTGGTCATTGGAGATGATTGGAGTGATTGCTTGTTCATACATTTTTATGAACAATCTTCAGTCAATAAAATAACAACACGGGCCTAAGGCCCTAAATTCTCAATACATTTTTACATAATAAATATTCATAACAAAAACAATAATACCATCACCCAGTCAGCTAAAATCTACAGTGGCACCATATCCTGATTGATTAATTGAATGTATTTAAATGGACGGCAGAGAATATTATGTAAACTGTGCAGCCAGTTTGTGAAGTTGGATAAAATTTCATTTTTTATGAATGGCAACTAGGACTCTCGTTCTCAGACGATTGATATAAAACTCTCAATAGAGAAACAATACATTGGCTTGCCCACTACAACAATAAAAAAAATTCCATTCAATATACCATATTTGTTTCAGTTTACTTGAAACTTATCAAACAATTTTTTCCTATTCATTGTTTTCACCATTATACCCATATTCTGATACTAGATCTCTGTATATTTTCCGATATTGTTTTCGTTGTTCTCTAATAACAATTTTTATCTATTTATTTTCAATCAGGATCAGCAAATAGTTGAGATACTTTTATTTCCCTATGTTCAGAAAAGTATTCTGAACCTAATTAAATAATGCAGAGGAAAAAACCCTCTGCAGAAAAGAGAATATAATAATAGGGAAAAAAATTTTGGAACCTAAGAAGGGCAAAATTTAATGATAATTATTCAAATATTTTTTTCTATCTGTCCCTAATATCACTAAATTGATAACAGCTATCAGAAATGTATGTAAATTAATGATTAGAATCGAGGTCATTCGAGAATCATAAAAAACAAAAACTTAAATCAGAAATTAAATTATCAATGAATGTAAAGAGCCGATTTACAGTTGTCAACTATTGCATGCAATTATTAGTTGCTGCAGTTCGTTTTAGTTCATCATTTTACCAGCAGAATTTCAGTTGAAAAGAGATACACATGTTGTGTGATTTATTAGCAGCATTGGTCCCAACATTTTTACATTAACAGGAAAGAAGAAATATCGTAGGAGGAAGCCAAATGAAATGAAAGAGAGAAGCATTCCTATTTCGTCAAAACTACTTGTCTGATTTGGACGTGAGCGAGTAGACTACTTTTTTTATGACTTAAATAGAATCATCACACAAATACCTTTCAATTTCACATTTTTTTAGAATTTTTCGGTCGATTTTAAAGTGCTAAAATCATCAGTAATGCCACGGTAATTTTCAAACGGCTAGAAATTTACCGCGAGTAAAAACTGACGTCACGATTTCGTAAGTAAAGGCAGACAGCACAGTTGTCATAATATGTTATTATAATACGACTGGGAACACGCTATAATTGCTACACCCGGTATTCATAAAAAAGGTTCTAATGAGAATACAGTTCGCACTCAAATATTCAGAAGATGATCTATCATTCAAAACAAAAATCGTCCAAATCGGACAAGTAGCTTTGACGAAAATGTACCTCAAACTTTTGGATACTTTTAGGTGGTGTATAAATGTTTAGGGGAAGTGTATAAATAGGTCCGATCCCACTCCTGAAATCGCAAAAATATGCGACAGCTGTCCAAGTTGACACAATAAAAATTGCGAACTGTTAAGCGGCTCTAAAGCTTTTCAAATCCAAATTCCTCCGAGGCCAAACAGAGGAATTTTATCCTATTAGTTTTTCTCCACCTCCCATAGTTTCCCCCATTGTAATTCTAAATGGTACCTTAGTAGTAGATATGTAATATTGTTTGTTTATTAACCCAAAATTGGTCTGCCTGTCAAGGGCGCTGGTTTTATGAAAACTTCGAGAGCCTATTTGTTACAATAGAATATTTGTTGATTTGTTGTTCCTGTTTGATTTCGGTGTTCCATTTTGCACTTTTACAAGAGGTGGAATGAATGACATGAATTTGTGGCAACATGCAATAATGTCCACCACTTCCAACTAACCTAAATGATTCGAGAATTCCAGCATTGCATAAACAACAGTTTCTTCTTTATGTTGCCTGCTTTCCTTGCTTGTGTAAGTACTTGAAATGTTTAAATATGAGAAATTTTGTACTTTAAATTTGGGAGAAAAGTGGATCTTGACAGGAATTTGAAACATTTTCAGCGTTAGGATAACAAATGAATCATTTACTTCGGAATAGAGGTCACTAGCTTACTGAATATGTTGTCAATGAGGGCGATTTTCGCAAATTTTGGGTCAATGAATAGACGATATTATAACTCTCCCATACTAACTAGGTTTTCATTTAGAACAATCCTTTCTCCATATCCCCCCGAGAGACCCCTGACGGTATCCAGTCCCTAAATTTTCAATTTCTGCTCCGGCAGAGAGAACGTTTTCAGCGTCATCTTGCGTCGCTGACCTGCCCCTAGGCCCTAGAGTGACATTATGAAACAGAGTGGCGACAACAGTGATGCACTTTTCGGTTGGTCATACCTCTAATATGGAGTTGCATCCACCTGTCTTTGTCACTGTCTCTCGCTCTTTGGACACAAAACATCCAACAATCGTACATGTAACTCTAAACTTTTGGGGCTCGTACGTCTCAGATTATTTAGATGATGGAATGAAAATATCAAATATCTAAGGGCCGGTTGCATAATAGTTATTTTCCGTCGACCTCGTATTAACGACTAAGTTTAGTGTATATGAAATCGTTCATTAATGACCCCTATTAATGAACGATTTGTCTATTAATACACGATTGTGTTATAGGCAACCAAACATACACCGCGTGCATTCATTGTTTATGCTATAACTTACGGAAGCTGCATTTAAATCGAAAATATGGATTTCATTGAAGATTTTCTGTTAATGGGTTCGCCTTTCCAAGTTTCTGACACGATTTTAATCCCTGTTTTCTAACACAAGGAATTTATTTTCTATGTTGATTATTTCGACAAATGTCAAATGTCACAAATGTCAGTGACAAGGCTACTGGGTGATTCTTAGCAGTTTCCAGATGAATGATGAATTCGCGAATCAAGTTTTCTTCATTGCAGGAGAAATGAGAAATGTAGTCGACGGAAAAGTTTTGTAACCAACTTGTATATTAAAAGGCGAATAATGATCTCGAACATTAACGCGCTCGCTTCGCTCGCATATAATAACTATTAACCAACTAGTGTATTAATGAGGGCGATTAATGATCGAGATATTTTAAAGTGCGAGCGAAGCGAGCGCGTTAATGTTCGAGATAATAAATCGCCTTTTTCCGTCGACCTCGTATCAACGAGTAAGTTTAATGTTTATGAAATCGTTCATTAATGACCCCTATTAATGATCAATTTGTCTATTAATGCACGATTGTTTTTTAGGCAACCAAACATACACCGCGTGCATTCATTGTTTATGCTATAACTTACGGAATCTGTATTTAAATCGAAAATATGGATTTCATCGAAGATTTTCCGTTAACGGGTTCGCCTTTCCAAGTTTCTGAAACGATTTTCTTAACACAAGGAATTTATTTTCTATGTAGATCATAACGACAAATGTCAAATGTCACTAATGTCAGTAACAAGGCTACTGGATGATTCTTAGTAGTTTCCGGATGAATGATGAATTCGCGAACCAAGTTTTCTTCATTGCAGGAGAAATGAGAAATATAGTCGACGGAAAAATTTTGTAACCAACTCGTATATTAAAAGGCGATTAATGCACAATTTTTTTTTTCATAAACATTAATCTTACTCGTTAATACGAGGTGGACGGAAAAGAAAAATTAATCAATCAGCTGGAGCACAATAACTTTGATGTTATGTTAAATATCTTTTGCGTTGCATAAATAATCTGATGTTAAGCATTCCATTTACTAATGACCAAGAGGGCGTGGCAACAGCGCTAATCTGTCTGCACCTTGCGTTCCGCGCATTGTTGATAGGCATTTTAGGTTAGGTTTATTTGCTTGATTTTCATTTAGATTGACAGAAGTTACAGAAAACCTGAATCGGGTATTGAAAACATTGTCATCATACATTTTGAATGGATTGTTTCTATTTCGAAAGGTTCTTGGCCTGGGAATCAGTAGTTCTTCTTCAGATTGTAAAGACAATGATGAGATAGACATTTTCTGTAATACCTATAATAGTCATTCACTTACATTATTGTGTTCATTTACCTACTCTACCTTTTTGAAATGAAACAAGAACTTAGGACTCTAACGTTTTTTTCAGATTCTGCAAAAATTCTGCGAAATATTCTAAATAATTTGGCGGGACTTTCACAAGTCATTTGCTGGTGGTCACTTTAATCAGTGGTCGAGCACTGATCAAGTTGATGTACCATGAATAAGTCGATTTGATGTGACATCTAAAGTTGATTGGCCTTTGTGCAACCGATTTTTTAGTTAAATAGTCATTACCATAAGTTAATTAGATGATTAAGTCACCCAATTTCATTTATAACGTCGCATCAAATATTGGGAGTAACATCAAATAATTGATGAACTTTCATGCAACCGGCCCTAAACCGAATATCAGGTGGACACTTCGAAGGCGCAAATTCATTACTGCATGTGAGATACCCTATTATCGCCACTTTATTTTATAGATTATCTCTTATTTACTGCACCACGCACCGGCCACCTTTTGGCGTCTTCTGCTCCGGCAGAGAGAAAAACTTTTTCACCGTCAACTTGCCTGCTGGTTTGCAGTGCAACTGCTCCTCGACGAACTGGCAGGGGCAGGTGAGAGAGGAGCAATGGCGGCCGCCCGAGGCTGGGGGGCTTTGCAGGTGGCCGCGAGCCCGATCTCTGCCCCAGCGGGAGAGGTAGCGCAGGTACAGAAGGGTGGCTCGCTCCTAGAAATCAAATGAAGAGGTGAAGAATTGATTAGTTTTGATTTTTTTCAAGATTTTTCAATTTATTCGTCAAACAAATCCAGACATTAAGGATCTGGTAAAGGGCTTTCACGCTAGGTAGAAGTATCTGGAGAACGAAAAGACAGAACATTTTGAAAATTGGGATGCTTTGATAATTGAACATTCTCTATCCGTCTAAAATATGTTCATCGATACAATGTTGCCACTTCTATCAGAAACCACTAGCAACTTCGTTATTTTACATAGAGCACACTGTATTTTGTTGCATTTTTAGATTCTTCCTGAAGAGCTGATTTATCAATGTATAACACTTGGGGTCTAGCAGGAATAATTACAGAGATATAGGGTATTCAAAATCAAGATTTTTGAATTTTAGGATTTTTTGTGTAGAAACTATTCATTATCGATCAAAACGACTTACATGTCCATATCTCAACTTTCGATTCACTATCTACTGACATTCAATTGGAACAGATACAGGGTGATCAGAATTCTGAATCTTGAAGCACCCTGCATATTTCCCAATTGAATTTCATTAGATAGTGAATCAAAAGTTAAGATAGGGACATGTAAGCCGTTTTGATCGATAATGAATAGTTTCGACTCAAAAAAAATCTAAAATTGAAAAATCTCGATTTTGAAAACCCTATATCTCTGTAATCATTCCTGCTAGACCCTAAATGTGATGCATTGATGAAATCAGCTCTTCAGGAAGTATCTAAAAATGCAACAAAATACATAATCTATTCCTAATTACTTTACAGGTCTCTCGATAATTTTTCCATCATAAATATATACCTATTGACTAATAATTTCTCTTTTCAGAATGGAATGTACCGGGTATTCCAAAGATTCTGATCTGGGAAATGAGAAAATATACAGAGATAGGCGTTAGAATTCAGCCAATCAATGTTACTGTCAAAGCCATTAATTCGGACTCAATTAGTAACAGACTGTTACGAGATATTTACAGTTAAAATGGTCAGAATCTTCTGAGGCACTGGTATTTTACAAATGTGATTATGTGATAGTGTATTATTATTCGTGTTTTATATTTCCATCCAACCAGCCGATTAGTAACTTTATCAGCTCATTCATAGATTCGTCATTCATTATCGCACATGATTGTAATAATAATGGTGCTGTAGATGACTAATGCGCAGAATATTGATAATGTGGATGGTAAACACAAGCACAGAGTTATGTAGAAGTAAATGTAATTGAATCATTGAATGGGAACTTCCTCAATTATATTCATCACCTTGAAATTCATGATCAATGTTCGAACACCTGCATTAAACATTTTCGTCTGTTTACAGTTTATATTTTCGGTTCTATTAGGATTAATTTCGTAACCTACTGATGAGTTTGGACATTTTAATGAAGCAATGAAATATTTTGAGTTTGAAATTAATAAAAAATGTTGAATTGGGAAATGAAGAGTGGCCAATATAGCTACTTTTTGTGCGCCGACTCATTTTATTTTTTTGTTTGGGTTGAGGTTTGTGATCATGTTGCAACTTTTTTCATGTGATTCATATTCATTCAATGATGTTTTTCTTGAAACTGGAATATCTTACTTTGGTTGAAGAAATTGGTTGCCAATTTTCCTAGTGTCATAGAAATAGAAACAAATACGTCGCGAAATCTTCAAGTCTCAATCATGACATATGAAAAAAATTGAGTTGGGGTACAAATAAACTGGGCGTCAATTGAAACGTTAATAGTGAAATTTGGCATCAAGTTTGACTTCTCGTAATTTCTGAAATATTGAACAAATTTTGAATTGCCGGCCAGATTCTGAATGTCTTTTTCATCGTCTTCCGAATCATTTCTTACAGCATCTTCTAAATTGATCAGGACCCGTGATACAGGGTGAAACAAAGTTTCGTGCATTTTGAAGAAAATTTCTCCGCCCCCCATTTTGTCGGAAGACCACGATGCTCATATTTCATTCAGGCATTTCATAAATAGCAACCATACCTCGGGACGTTTTCAAGTTTTTGCCAAAAACTACTGTTGTTTCCGAAAAAAAAATTATTTTGTATTTTTTCAAATGGACTAATTTTAGAGCAGTTCCATAATTGGATGTTATTATGCATTTCAGGAAAGCGTTGGAGCAGATATGTATACCAGGTTACTCAAAAACAATCAATAATTTATTACTTTGCAGTCAGTCTATGATGAAAGTTTTCTACCTTAGTGAGCAGTAAATCAACACATCTTATCGACAAAAACTAACAACGATACCTTGTTTCTATAACAACGTATTGTTGAAACAATGTAGATATGCATAGAGGTTATATCAATTGCCAATTTTCATGAAAACGTCAGTGTACTTCGGGTCCTAAAAAATTTAAAGATGCCTCGTTCAAATCGGGTCGAAATGGAAAATCATTAGGAAAGATCACTATAGTGATATAAACTATAATTCAGTACAGATAATTATTATTTCAGGCTACGACGATCAGGATATACCCAAACTCATCAAAGTACAATTTTCAATAAGTCAGTCATGACAATAAGTAGACTGATTCATCGTTTTGAGGATACAGGTAATCAGTCCATTTAAAAAAAATTCGGAAAAATTTTTTTTTTTTCGGAAACCACAGTAGTTTTTGGCAAAAACTCGAAAACGTCCCGAGGTATGGTTGCTATTTATGAAATGCCCGAATGAAATATGAGCATCGTGGTCTTCCGACAAAATGGGGGGGCGGAGAAATTTTCTTCAAAATGCACGAAACTTTGTTTCACCCTGTATCACGGGTCCTGATCAATTTAGAAGATGCTGTAAGAAATGATTCGGAAGACGATGAAAAAGACATTCAGAATCTGGCCGGCAATTCAAAATTTGTTCAATATCTTAGAAATTACGAGAAGTCAAACTTGATGCCAAGTTTCACTATTAACGTTTCAATTGACGCCCAGTTTAGTATCATACAAGAGAAAAAAATGTTAGGTTTTCCCCTGTATAATACCCTATTTTTTTCTGTTACAGGAAAAACGACGATTGAATATTGAGAAGATATTACATTATAATAAAATCAGAAAATTATCGATGAGAAATTTGAAGTTCTTAAGCATCTTCATTGTTGCTATGGAGACCTTTTGAAGGAATCAAATATGTGCCAATTTAATTCTGTGTTTCGATTTTAAAAAATTGCGAACAGTGGTTGTTTAGTAATTTACCTAATCATCTAAGTGTTCTTGAAATTCCTTAGCTTTATTTTGATCCAGAATGTTTGGTGTGAATTTTCTTTTCGAACGCCACTTCAGCTTCAATTAATTTCCGGAAATAATTGAAGCTCTCACGTGCTCTCACGATATTATAAGTGAAAATCTGACATTGTACACACCTACGTAATAGTAGATTGTTTTATTAGGATCAAAAGTGACACTTTGTTTGACAAGCGAAATTTGCGAGTCGAACAAAGTCACTTTTGATCCGAATGAAACATGCTATTTTTTCTGCAACCGAAACAATTAACTCAAATAAACATGTGAAGTAACCACCAATGCCGTGCCATATGTATGCAATGCAACAAATATTGACAAATAATCCATGTGGTGAGATATTCTACCTGCATTAACAGCAGGTTAGGTTTTCTAGGATGTTCGAATTGTAGTTTCAATATAAATACAACCACAGAGTGACATATTTGTGTATGGACCAGGTGCTCTAATGGCAAATACCGCGCCAGTGCCAGGTATAGGAACAAGACGAGGAAAATGTTAGGTTAGTGAGCATATCAACAATGATAATAGTGATTTTTTATTCCTCTCCATACTGGCATACTACACTGTGTTTGACTTGATAATCAAATGAAGCTAAACAATATCGTTGTTTGAGACAAAAAAACCATTGCTTGCCGTGATTATTCAAAAACAAGTTATCCATCCCGAGAATAACGAATGAAATACAGATCAAGCAAGTATTTGAATCTTGAAGGTTTCCCTGATCAAAACAAAAATACTTAACTGAGATGTTTATAATTCCAATACTTAACTATAATAAGGTGTATTTATATCTCCAGCATGGGTATGAAATGCCAAATCTGCTGAAATCGGAATCAAATCAAATCAGGTATGCGTCTCAACCCAAATAACCAACCGAACCAATGTTGTTTATTCTTGAAGACGTCCAGTAGATCCTTTTTAGTTCCTAGGAGCTAAAGTTCAACTTTAGCTCCTAGGAACTAAAATTCGACTTTAGCTCCTAGGAACTAAATATGTTGCCTAGCAACATACCTATTTTTGTGTCAGTAGTAGAAACGTCAATTCAAGAGCTAATTTTGGTATCAAAATGGACGACTTTTGTGTCGGTTGCAGAAAAAACTTTTTAACAATGTAGAAAACCATTCATCGTTTATATTGAAACAAGAAAATATGAAAATTGTGTAGAATAGTGAAAAACATGATAAAAATGGGATATTCACTCATCAGTAAATGCCCATGCGGACCATCAGATTGGACCACGCGGGACAACAGTCCCTGGCATGATCGCCTCTGGCCGGCTTGTTCGTCATGATCTCGTGCACGTATTGGCAGGGGCACAGCCCAGTGGTCACGTGTCTCGGATTCGACGGGTTGCCCATCGTGTCGTCCATGGTCCAGTCGAGGCGGCGGCGCAGAAAATCCTTGCCCCATCGCTGCGAGTAGCGCAGGAAGACCGCCTCCGATTGGGCCTGAGAAAAATGTGATGGAAAATTGGTTTCGCCCATTTCTGGATGGATGGATGAATGAATGAATGCATGCGATAGTTGTACTGATCTTTCTAGCCATGAAGTTTTCAACTTTCGTTGGCAAAATTGCCTTTTCCATCACACTTTTCCACGCTATACCTTCACGTTTTAGGGTCCCCCAAGTTTGTCTACTTATGTACAGGTGAGGCTTCTTTTTGACAGGATGTAGAAACTAAATTTGAGGATATGTAACTATGGTCCTGATATGTTGTGACATTCATGAAATTACTAGGAATAATGAATGTGAATTTACTTGAAAGGAATATTATTTAGAGGATATTCATTATGAAACGAATTTTCGGCATATAGAAACACGTACTTGGGAGTCTATGTTTCTACATACTTGTTTGAGTTGTTTGACATTCAATTCCAATTAACATTCAATCACAACGCGTCAAAAGTACAAGCAATTTAGACGTTGGAATATATTGAAATGTAAATAGTATTAAATGAATTTTTGTTTTTATTTTATTACTAGCTGTACCCTGCGCGCGTTGCTATGCTACTACTTCTAAAATAAATTTGAAGGAAAGACAGTACACAAATATTGAATTGATTTCGAGAAATTTTATTGATTATAGCTGACCCGGCAAACGTTGTTTTGCAATGTACATTATTTCTAGAAAACATTTTTTTAGTTGAATATTCAACAACACACTTCTATTGTTTTGTTTTTTGCTACTTCTGTTTAGTTTGACTTATCATACATAAAAGCGTGTTTTCTTAGTTTTTCAAACTACTATTGATTTTCTACTTCTTTTTAGTTTGACTATCAATGAAAGCGTGTTTCATAGTTTTCCCAGACATTATTTATTACAAATCTCGTTCGACATACTGAATCTGCCATCTTGAATTTTTGTAATTATGACGGAGGAATCATAATCTCCGACCCCGAAAACCCACAGATACTAATTTTAAATAGAATCGGATCATAATTGATGCCGTATTGGATCTGCTATCTTGAATTTCCAAAATTAGACGAAATAATCATAATCTCCGAACCCGGAAACCCCCAAATACCAATTTTGAACAGAATTGGATCATAATTACAAAAGTCGTCTTCGATATTGGATCCGCCATCGTGAATTTTCAGATTTTGAGGAAAAAATCTTGAACTTCGACCCCAAAGTCTCCCAGATGCCAATTTTGAATAGAATCGGATCAAAATTACGAACCCCGTTCGCCATATTGGATCTGCCATCTTGAATTTTCTAATTTTGATAACAGAATCATAATCTCCGACCCCGATAATTCTTAGATACCAATTTTGAATAGACTCGGATCATAATTACAAAAGTCGTCCGCCATATTGGATCCGCCATCTTTAATTTCCTAATTTTTTCACTCATAGAGGAACCTTCTGACGGTAACAAATACAACAAAAAAGTGAAATTGGTCAAGCCGTTTACGATTCTATAAACGACATACAAACATTCATTTTTATATATATAGAATTGTTGGTCATATGAAAATAGTATATTCAACGATCATGTGATGGTTATTGAAACATGATCGTTGCATAAATCACAAATATTATTATTGCAGGAGTGAATAACGTAGATAACATTGACGACAAGACTTAAAAAAAATATCAATACCAAAAAATTCAAGAAAGAACTAAAAAAATATGTATTCCTCTGAATTTTGTCATGTCATCCATATTCAGATCATATAATATATCAATTATTTTAATCATTCATTCACTCAAACAAGGATCTGCTCAAACGAAGAGAATTACTAGAATAATTATTATACCTATAAATACTATATTTTGAATGTAATGTAATACATTGTTTTTTTTTTTAATGTTCCCTGTTGATGATGATTAGATAACGTTTGTGGAAATGTTCATGGAAAATGTTCCTGGACAAACATATTCAGAGACATATTTGCTGCATATGTTTAGTATTTAGTAAACAAATTTGTGGAATGACTTATCATCATGTATTCTACATCCTGTCAAAATAAATAAATTACCATTGAGAACACCCTGTATTAGTGTTTATGGGTGTTGTGTGATTGTGTATAAAAATAAAACATTCAAAATGGAAATGTTAAGGGGATTACATTGCATACATTCTGATATTTAATTGTTGGAATTGAAAAATTTTATATTTTCAACACCATTTATAAACTTTTGAGCAAACTGATAATTATATTTTAAAAACATTTTTAAATGATATACTCACGTACCTGCTCAGCAACTATGCAAACTTTTCGCGTTTCTGTTTTTTTTTTTTTTTGTTAAAAAGAACCTTTTTTGGTGAAATAAATGTTGATAATTTCCTATTATTTCCCCAGGATTTTCAGGTCGAAAAATGTGTGTTTACAATGTTTATGAGCTCTTTTTTCGACTTTTTCATTTGCCGCCGTGTGAATCATATTTTTTTCTCCAAATGTTATAAAACCCATTATGTGTAATTTTTTATTGAAAATCCATTATTTTGGGTTCTCCCAATGTCAATGTCAATTTTGATTAAGATAATCTTGACATACTAACGAACAATAATCAAACACAAATTACAAACCAGCTCAACCAAATCAGAGACTGTGATATCTACTATATTTATGCCACGAACAATTATTAATTTAATTGATTTGTGAAACATTTCATGGCTAGATAGATGATTATTTGTGAAAAACTCATGCACATAAACCATAACTCCCTAACTTTTTGAAATAGAAGAGTAGCATAATGTTATCAAATACTCCAAAAATCCGGGTGGTCAGCAGCACAATACAACTTTTTTTTTCCTCATTTTCCTCACCTGTTTTCTGGAGAGCCTCGTCGTCCGACTGCCCTGTATGACGATATCCTGGGCGGTGATGTCCATCCGCTGCTCCCACCCGCCCGAATGGTCCCTGTCCTGCTGGTCGATGGCCGTTTGCAGATGGGCTATACAGGGGGCGCTGTCCATGTAGATGAAGCACAGGTTCACCTTGTGGCAGCTTATCTTGCCCCGATCGTCCAAGGCTGACGAAAAAAGTTTGCATTATTGAACGAACATCCAGTGATTTTGACAGTAAGATTCTACTGTTTCTGTTGTGAGGGCTAACATTATACCGGGTGAACAACTAAGAACGACTGTCATATCTATCATTCTTCCAACTTTGATAGTTAATATCTTCTGTTGGCAAAAAGCTATCATGTTGTGGTTTTCGTTGATCTGTTGAGATTTAGTTTCTCTATTACATCGTATAATGATATGCATACCATCACATTTATTCTACCTCAAACTTGTATCATTATTCGTTGCTGAGATATGGCCGACAGCCTTTCTTAGTTGTTCACCCTGTACAGTGTGACCCACTTCTAATGGAAACACCCTTGTATCTTACTTAATCGTTGGGTAAGGATCCTGAAATTTGCTGGAGCGAGAGATATACCAAAAATGCACTTTGTGACCAAGTGATGTCATCTTCAGTGATATACACTGCTCGCCAACAGCCATGGAACCACCCACATTTTTGGGAAATGATATTAGGAGTCAAAGTAGGTTGAAAATCACTTCGGATTCGGAATCAGGACGCCCAATTCACTAACTATTCATAGTTTTCCAAAAAAATTTTCAGTTCTGAAAAATTAAATTTTGTCTCACTTCTCATGGAAGCACCCCCGTATCTCAGGTAATTATTGAGGTAGGGTTGTGAAGTTTGCAGGAGGAAGGGAAAGTCCAAAGATAAATTCAATTACGTAAGATACGGGAAAGCTTCCGTAAAAAGTGCGACAAAATTTAATTTTTCAAAACTGAATATTTCGTACCCCTCTAAAGATAATCTCCGATGGACCAGTGTAAAACTCAAGAGTTTCACACTGGTCCATCGAATATTATCTTCCGCCGAGGGCAAAATTGAAGTTAATAACAGAGCGTCAATACTTCCGAGCATATTTGGTCATCTTCTGAAGATAATCTCCGATGGACCAGTGTGAAACTCAACATACAGAGCGTCAATACTTCCGAGCATATTTGGTCATCTTCTGAAGATAATCTCCGATGGAACAGTGTGAAACTCAACATGTGGATTAGAATACTTGTAGTCTGAGCACCACAAGAGTTTCACACTGGTCCATCGGATATTATCTTCCGCCGAGGGCAAAATTGAAGTTAATAACAGAGCGTCAATACTTCCGAGAATATTTCGCCCTCCTCTAAAGATAATATCCGATGGATCAGTGTGAAACTCAACATGTGGATTAGAATACTTGTAGTCTGAGCACCACAAGAGTTTCACACTGGTCCATCGGATATTATCTTTCGCCGAGGGCAAAACTGAAGTTAATAACAGAGCGTCAATACTTCCGAGAATATTTCGCCCCCTCTAAAGATAATATCCGATGGACCAGTGTAAAACTCAACATGTGGATTAGAATACTTGTAGTCTGAGCACCACAAGAGTTTCACACTGGTCCATCGGATTGGATCCCAAAATCGGACACTTTCAAAAAGATACAGAGTGATCAAACAATTTTTCTGGCTAGTTTTCCCACTAGTGAGTGTATTTAAAACAGAAAACTTCTGGCCCATTGATTTTAAATTTTCCAAAGAAATAATCACTGCATCTTGAATTTTCCTGAAAGAAAGTTGATTAATTTTTACATACCTAGTACTATCTTGTGTCTCAGCAATTGCTTATTCACATGGGCCATACATTTTTCCAAATTTCTTTGCAATCTGAACTTTAAGTACATGGAGAGAAAAATAGCAGCAGCATTCAATATCAGCCATCCTATTCCCAGCCCAAACAGAGTGAGACCTGTCAGGCCAGAAAACAGCAAACCCAAGAGCACAAAAAAGGCCACAGAAATCCATATGACCAGCACTCTTTTGTAGCAAACATTGTACATAGTGAATCTTACATCATTTACTAAGAGTTCCATTGCTTGTACATACTCTTCAACAGTCAACTAAAAAAAAAGGATGAGAGGTTATGTAACTTGAGTTTTTTTTGGTAATTTTCACTCACAGTAAGACCCTGAGCCATCAATTCTTCAGGTACTAATTCTGGACGGAATTGTGCAGGAGTAATCCATGGAAAACTAGTGTTTACAGGCAAAAGAGTTACTATGATGTCTCCATTTGCTACAATGAAATCAAACCATGTACCATGGACAATACTAAGAATACACTCAGTACTCACAAAATCCTTGTCTAATAGGTTCGACCGTGGCTATAGGAAGCTCAACGTTTCTTAGAGGCTTCGGATCCAAGACAGCTACATTGTTACCATCAGTTGATCTACTTAGGCTTCGATCCAGATTTACCTGAACGTTTTCTGTTGTTATAACGGCGGCGGGAGAATTTTTGTTTTCTCTCGAAGCCTCTTCATCGAATTTCACCCAGTTTTGACCGGAAGGACTACCTGTTTCTTGTGGAATCGGAATGACAGCAGAAACTTGGCTGTCCTCGATTTTTTTCGGTGTGTTATTGTCGCCCATTTTGTTTCAAGATTTTATTTTTCACACAACACTTTACATTATAAAATAAACCTTTTAAAGCCAACCAATTATTGTATGGTAACAATCTACAAGAAGCACATTCTTGGGGGCTTGGGGCTTGTTGCAAAGTGCAAAGATGAGACGTACGGCGTACGCGTACGGTACGACTGGTAGGAATGATAGAATAGGATGTAACTTTGATTATTTTCCCTAAAAGCGAGCCACCAAGCAATCACAACCAGTACTATAAGTACTGGTAGGTGCTTCAGGTACTAGTGGTACTACTGAAGTACTGACAGTGACGTACCCATTCATACCTGTGACTTCATAATACCAAAGTGCCACAGTATATTGCTAAAAAGAGAATTTGTCCGGATAGCCCTGAGGGCTTGATGATTCCATTTAAAAATGAGAAGAGTTGGTTGGTAATGCTTGTTGCGTGTAGCCGATATGTCCGATATTGAAGATGACAGATGAGATCAAGACGCCAAAAAGAGAGAAGAAGAAGAAAATTTGTTCTCATTTCCTTCTCTGTTTCGCTCTTTCTGTCTCATCTGCATCTTTCATTGTTGATGAGATTTTTTGACGTTGAATCTTCACAATTTTTTTTCATTGAGAAATAAAGCTGAAAAAGTGAAAAACCATAAATATTGAGATATTCGAGATGGAAATGGAAGGTATGAGATCAGTTCAAAGTTGTTTCGAATCACATTAATATTTTGCTGAAAATCAAAAACTCTCCTTTGCTTCTCTTGCAGCTCCCAGAAAATTGAGGTTGAGACGTCTGGTACCTGCTCAAAAAAATCAAATACAAGATGGTATGCACTCTGAAGTCCATGTCTTACTCACCATTTTTCAAAATGCAACATATATGTTCTTGACAAGCTTTTTGTGAGATTTCCATGCTTTCTCTTCCTTATTCAATAAATTTTTTCAGAATTCCTCATTCAAAAAAACCTGGAGCAATTGAAAGCCAACACCGAGAAGAAAAAGCGTGCCCAAGCGGCCTACTATGAGAACTATTCTAGCAGCATACATGTCAGTCCATTGAACAGAGATATGAACCGTAGGCCTGTGAAGCAACGCCTGGGCCGTAGGATTCCTTTCAATGGTACCAATACCTCTGCCATCCCTCCAAAACGCAGACTGCTGAGATTGAAGGCCCCTGGAACCATGAACAACTCTATAAATGCCAGGAAATCTAGAAACACAAGATTCTCAGCCCAGCAGAGGCTGAACCAAATACGAGCAAGGCAGCAGAACACCATTATGCAAACTCAAGGAGGGCCCAGAAGGTTCAGGTTGAAACGCACCCTGGTGAATGGCTTCCCCAATGGATTCATGAACAATAGCATGCCTAAGAACTTGAAAGTGGAGGTAAGTTGTCAAAGATGTTCTATATCTTGCTAGTGATAATTTCCACTGTTTTTTCATTGTGACATCTTCATATTTTTTTGAGGTCTAGTTGTTCAACATATTCTCCTATTGTTGATGTGAAGTTATCAGTTATCCATGATTTTCTAGCCACGCTTTATGACGTGTGGACTGTCGAAATTGGGATAGAGGAGATTTCGCGTGCAACGTTGCCAAACTTCCCAGCCACGCTTTTCCCAACCATGCTTATTTAAATGTATGTTTCAGCAGTATTTTGCCTGTTAATCGTTTCCCTGATAGCCTACAAAGTGTTACAACCATTCTAAGAACGGGAAAAAATCGATCACTTCAGTTGTAGGTCTTTATTTTTCATCATTCATTTTCAAATAACGGTTACTAATTGGTGTGCACTCATACCTATTTCACTATAATTCCAAGAATTACTCATTTCGAAAAAACTTCGTCAATAATGGATGTGCGTTTATGAATGTTTCGCCAAAATCTCTAGAATAACTCTATAAACGTATTTAGGAACTGAAATGAATTTGCAGTGCCGTAGGAGAATTTATAGAAAATATAATCTGTCATTTTTGATGATTTTTCCTGAATAACTTCATTAATAATGGATGTGCGTTCATGAATTTTTCGCTAAAATCTCTAGAATGACTCTATATACGTATTTAGAAACTGAAATGAATTTGCAGTGCCGTAGGAGAATTTTTAGAAAATATAATCTGTCATTTTTGATGATTTTTTCTTATTAACTTCGTTAATAATGGATGTGCGTTCATGACTTTTCCGCCAAAATCTCTAGAATAACTCTATAAACGTATTTAAAAACTGAAATGAATTTGCAGTGCCGTAGGAGAATTTATAGAAAATATAATCTGTCATTTTTGATGATTTTTTCGGAATAACTTCGTTAATAATGGATGTGGCGAAAAATTCATCCATTATTAACGAAGTTATTCAGGAAAAATCATCAAAAATGACAGATTATATTTTCTATAAATTCTCCTACGGCACTGCAAATTCATTTCAGTTCCTAAATACGTTTATAGAGTTATTCTAGTGATTTTAGCGAAAAATTCATGAACGCACATCCATTATTAACGAAGTTATTCAGAAAAAATCATCAAAAGTGACAGATTATATTTTCTATAAATTCTCCCACGGCACTGCAAATTCATTTCAGTTTGTAAATACGTATATAGAGTCATTCTAGAGATTTTAGCGAAAAATTCATGAACGCACATCCATTATTAACGAAGTTAATAAGAAAAAATCATCAAAAGTGCAGATTATATTTTCTATAAATTCTTCTACGGCACTGCAAATTCATTTCAGTTTCTAAATACGTATATAGAGTCATTCTAGAGATTTTAGCAAAAAATTCATAAACGCACATCCATTATTAACGAAGTTATTCCGAAATGAGTAATTCTTGAAATTATAGTGAAATAGGTATGAGAGCAGACCAATTAGTAACCGTTATTTGAAAATGAATGATGAAAAATAAAGACCTATAACTGAAGTGATCGATTTTTTCCCGTTCTTAGAATGGTTGTAACACTTCGTAGGCTATCAGGGAAACGATTAACAGGCAAAATACTGCTGAAACATACATTTAAATAAGCATGGTTGGGAAAAGCGTGGCTGGGAAGTTTGGCAACGTTGCACGCGAAATCTCCTCTATCCCAATTTCGACAGTCCACACGTCATGGAGCGTGTCTGGAAAATCGTGGATAACTTCACATCAACTCTCCTATTGTGACCTTGAAAAACTTTACTTCAGATTCACATAAGGTCATCCTTAGGCTAATCAGTAATTGGTAGAGTAAAAATCAGTTTAATTCATTTGAAATATATTTTCAGGTGAAAAATGAACATTTGTACCAAGATAGATCAAACTTTTACCAGGGCAATCATCATAGATTCAGGCAGATTCTTAACCATAATGTCCAAATGGAGATTAAGAGGATACAGGTATGTAAATATTGACATTATTGTATTATTTTTCAACAGAATCCAAATAGTGTTCTGTTCTTGTGCTCATTTTGAGGAAGAACATATTTTACACTTGCTGACCCGGCAAACGTTGTTTTGCTGGGTGACACAGGGTATCGGGCCACCCCTGTAACTTCTGCTTTCGTCGTCGGATTTTTTTGAAATTCGGTACAGTTATATAAGCAATCATTTCAGATTTGATCACATTACAATCCAATATGGCGGACTTCCGGTATTTCTGGAAATGCCAGCAACTCTGTTTTTTCAAATGAAACACCCTGTATATTTTTACATATTCAAGTTCAACAGGTCGAAACAAGTGCAATCTTCATTTCAAATGTCATTTTTTCGAAAAAAATTAAATTAAATTTTTTTTTTATTTCACGTCGTGGATAAATGAGATGTGGTCAAGACTATTCACAATGAGTCACACATAACAGAAGAACATAATTTTTTTTGAAAAATTATTTTTTGTGTCACTTATCCAGGAATCAATTCAGCCACATCACTTTTTGATCAAAAATTATTTTTTTTCAAATGGAACCCTTATGGGCCACCTACCCGTCTCTCTAGAACATACATTGAGGAACAAAATGACATATCATTTTTGTTTTTCGGTGCAGTAACAAATTGTATACATTCAAAAATCAACAACTAGTTTATGAATTTCCTTGCAGTTAAAATAATCTTTCAACTAGGTAGGCTGTGGAATGAATGACATTTGACATCAAGATTGCACTTGTTTTGACCTGTTGAACTTCAATATGTAAAAATATACAGAATGTTCCATTTGAAAAAACAAAATTTCTTGCATTTCCAGAAAAACCGGAAGTCCGCCATATTGGATTGTAATGTGATCAAATCCGAAATAGTTGCTTATATAACTGTACCGAATTTCAGAAAAATCCGTTGACGAATGCAGAAGTTACAGGGGTGGCCCGATAACCTGTGTCACCCGGTATACATTTTACTCCCATAAGAAAAAGTATAACTTTGATACGCCACGCATTTCTGAGTCACCCTGTATGAAGCGAAATAATTTGGAAATGTGCTGCTCATGATCCTAGATCATCTCTGGAACTTTTGTCAATCTATCTCAAACTGTAAAGCCGTTATCTCACTTTGCCACACTAATGACTCACCCTGTATATTAGATTTAATGAATATCATATTTTTTGGACTTATGTGGTTTTGAACTTACAGATTGAAAATACATTGCAAAATACAACTATTCTTCTTTGGTATGCACCCTGGTCAGTTGTCCCCCTAATTTTTTTTAATGCCAAATATTATTGATATGACTCCAACCAAAGAAATTTGGACTGGACCTTCTGAGCAAAATTTTGTCATTATTGATATCATTATTGTATTATTTTTTTCAGATGGAATTTCCAGGAAACACAATAATATTGCCCACCAAAGTTACACCAGTTGCAACCAGAATCTCAACAAGCCTTAGGTTTGCCGAACTTATTTAAGAGAAAATAGTATTTAGTACTGTACCTGCTACAGGATGTTGTGTGATTGTGTATGTTCTGTAGCTGAGAGAATGGTTAATTTCTAAACTTTTTTATCATTTAAGGTTCAATTATGATTTTTCCTTGTATCATAGTGGCAATAAGTTTTTGATTATTTCTTAAAAAATTAACATTGTTTAGTTTATTTTTCAAACTAATATGTTATCTCGTATGTTATGTACATTTCAAATACATTTTCATAATAAACCATTTTCTGTGTTTTACTAGAGCTGATAATTGAAGTAGAAATCTGTCAGTCTTGCTCCAGAACTTTAATCACAAGCCACTAGAGGGCTTCGTCAAAAACATAACCTATACCATTATTAACAAGATTTTTCATTTTAATAACTTATGACAATTCCGAAATGTCTGTATCAGGAGAGCAGAAGCGGCTGAAGGTAAATAAATAACCGAATTCTTCA